CACCGCGCGCCGACACCTTCGTACAATAAAAACTTTTTAGTGATGTCAAAGCTTGAATGGCTTCAGCGTGATGGTGCCAAATAACTTTCTACGAGTCACCGCGAGGCGCGCAGCATTGACAAGACCGCTTTCCAAAACTCGATTTACACTGGCATTTACAATTTTACAAAAGTGTTCGTACGTAACCTTTTAAAATGCAATAACAATTTTAATATAATAATAAATGACTTGAATAAATAAGTGACAAATTTTTTTTGAAACAATAGAGGGACTGGTCTGTCCGTTTTATCTGGATATCCAGGATATTTTTGTTAATATTTAAAATGTTTTATTATGATATAATATAATATTATAATAAATATTACAAATATATTAATGTAATATAATATAATAAATATTACAATTATATCAATATAATAATATAATAAATATTACAATTATATTAATATAATATAATATAATAAATATTACAATTATATCAATATAATAATATTATAATAAATATTATAATTATATTAATATAACAATATTATAATAAATATTACAATTATATCAATATAATAATATTATAATTATATTAATATTAATATAATTAATATAATAATATTATAATTATATTAATTATATTAATATAATATAATATTATTATATTGATATAATATATATTTATAATATAATATCTATCTGACAATTTATCGGACAGTAGTAATTTTCAGCACCCCCTCGGAGTCGCCACTCGAGCGCAAAGGGTTAATAACAGCGTCTTTCGTTGACAGTGCTCGTATGAACAGTTATTTCGCTATACTTTTGTATTAACAGCCAAGCTGATAGAATTTGTTCTCATTTTGTTTGCTACCGAGAGCACGATTTGCGGTAGCGTTTGCGGTTGCAATGGCGGATATCGGTGCGCACCGGTTCTGAAGACCATCGGCTGACGATGTCCGTTTCCGGGCGCACAGCTAGAATGATTCCCTTGAACTCGCGGCTTCACAGTTACGTTTAAAGTCGCCTCGATTCTAAAGTTAGAAAGCTAATCCACTTCACGGTGCCATCTTTGTAAGCTCGGCGCGCTACTTCTACCGTTTACTTTCTTCCAATTTCCCTGATTTCTTTAACCGTGTCTTCTTCCTCGTCAAATAACGCTCTATCATTTTTATTTTTCGTTTATTTAACGATGAGAATAATTCCAAAATGAATCAAAATAAAAATTATTGAAAAATTAATCAAAATAATTCTTCCATGATCAAGCAAGGTTATGTATGTCGATTTCATCGAATTGAATATATCGTGAAGCTGGCAGCAAAGATTGCTATAATTTTCGACGACGTTGCCGTTCATCGAGAGTGCCATCGATTCGACGCACAGGCGTAGGCGCGACGGTATCCATTTAAATATTCACGCGTACGCCGTTTCTTGCGGAGAGCTCGTTTAGTATTCTGCTTCATTTAGGAAGGAGGAAATATATACTACGAGACCTACGCGTTTTAGCCGACTGCTTCACTTACGCGCGAGAACGCCCACGTTCCGCGATTAAATTGACAATCGAGAAGCGAATGTCGTTCGATGGTCGATGGTCACGTGGTTAAATTATTTAAATTAGAGTATTGGCGAGAGGGTGGAGCGAGGGACGAGGCAATATCATTTGATACGATCAGATTTTAGCGACGACTAAATTGCAAAAGAAATTGTTATTAAGTTATTATATTATTATAGTATTATATTATTATATTACTATATTATTATATTAGTATATTATTATATAATTATATAATTATATTACTATATTACTATAGTACTAACATTACTATATTTACTATATTGCTATAGTATTAACATATTACTATATTACTATATTATTATATTATTATTAATATATAATAATATTTATATATAAAACAGAATAAAATAACCTTAATAACATAATATATCCATAAAAGGAAACTTAGTTGATTTTCACATTAATATATAATATATTATCATTAACATATTATTTATTATTACATTTTTATCAGTATATAATAATATTTAAAAACAGTTTTCCATTGAAAACTAGTTTCTGAATTTGACAAGTCTATCCAAATGGACCAGTTTTTAAACTCGCTGTTCTAAAACCAAGAAAACTAAATCTCAAAGGATCCATGATTCAATGAAACACAGTTCTCCCAGAGTTTATCAATGGCAACGGCAAGCTACGGAAAGCGATCTAAAGGTACAGGATTTAGCTAACAAAAAATAATGTTGAATGTTTCGCCATAGCACATATTAACCGTCCAGCCTGTGGTAGAAGGCTTGCTCCAGGTATACAGAGCCGTAGCCGTCGCTACTTTTTCCGTCCTCCATGGTTTTTCGTGTTGTCCTCTCTGTCGTAGGCTCGGTATTCTCTCCCCCCCCTCTCTCTCTCTCTCTGTC